CTCTCCCCGTCAACTGGGGAAGGGCACATGAATGTAATGGAAATGATAAAGAGGATGACAACAGAAAAGCATGGAAAGATTTACATGAACTGATGCAGAGTGAAGTCAGCAGAGCCAAGAAAATCAGACACAAATGACTTCAATAACATAAACGGAAAGAGGCACAAAACTATAAAAAGTGAATGTTTGCAAAATGACAAGGAACAAGCCTAGCCCCCCCCAAAAGACAATATTCACCCCTTTGTAGAGGTCAACAAGGGTAAAACACTGGACATACGGTCATATTTTCCACTGTATTATTATGTAGGGTGGCTTTTAGGGAGTGAAGAGGGAGGGGAAAATCTTGTGGATAATAAAAAGAGAAGGTAAGAAAAAGGGGAAGGGAAAGAGTCACCATTTGCCTCTCTCTAGTCCTGTGGGACCTCTCCTGTTCTCCAGGATTGTTCAAATTTTCCAGTCCAAAAAAATAAAGGTCAAAAAAGGAAGTGTCTTGTTGGCTTAGTACAACCACATTGGTTCCAAGTGATGACTGGGTCCCTTTTGAAGCACTCTCAAACCACCCATTTAATAATCCATTCAAATTTTTTTTTTCTAGGAATTGGCATCTAGTAGATGAATCAAGCTCCTTTCTTTCTTTGAAAACTGAGCCATCCATTTCCATGACTCCAGTCCCAAGGAACCTTTGCACTTTCCTATTACTCCACAAAAATCAGATCACTGGTGGCTGTTTAGCAATCCCTCTCAATGTGAAGTTACCCTCCTCCTAAGATGAAACGTATCTAAGCCAAGAAGCTTTGGGTATGCAAAGAGGCCATTTCATTGTCTCTGAAACTATTTGGTGTTTGAATTCCCCCTTAAACTCTTGTTGACTAAGGTAATTTAGAAGAGGTTAGAAAAGTACAGAAGGAAACTCAGCCAATTAAATGCATCAGTAACGTCTCCCTATAATTCTGCTTTACTTATGTAGCTATCTAAACAAAAAGCCTGAATTAGCTTAAATTGGATATTAATGTTCATGTATATGAGTAGCTAGGCAGCAGAGTGAGTTAGGGACTGAATGTAGAGTCAGGAGATGAGTTCAAATCCTGCTTCAGACATATACTAGCTGGGTGACCCCAGGCAAATCACATAACCTGTCTGGAAACCTGAATTGGGAATAATAGTACCTACCTCCCAAGTTTGTTATGAGGATCAAAGGAGATAATATTTGGAAAGCACTTTGAAAACCTTGAAGGGCTTCATAAATAAACGCTATCATTGTGTACATAAACTTAAATCCCAAGACTAAGAATTAAAATACGACTTCCGATACAGTAGTTGACGGTTAAGCAAACATGTGCTTAATCAATCTCCAGTTACTATCAATAAAGAGCTCTATGCTTACAGAGTCAATTGGTGGACATACAACAAGCCTGTCCAAGCAAAAAAAAAAAACAAACCTCTGGTAGTGTTCTTGGAATCACAGTTTGCAAATGATCTTGTGCTGAGTTTTAGGTGAATATTTATCTTATTTTTACATACAGAAAAATGTTTAAGGTTGAAAGAATTTCTGAATGTAGGTACTGGTCTACTTGCAGTGAAGTGAAGTGACCAGCAGAGGGTGCCAATTAGGCATTTTCTTTCAAAACTCTATTAAGTAAATATTTTTACATTTTATAGTCATCCAGGTGCAGATTAAACACAGCGTCACCTTGCTAAAATTAATAAGCTACAGTACAAACCGGCCAATGAAAGCATCTACACAGAAAGACTGGAAAAGTGCTGCCTCCTAGGCTGATTATACAATTCTTTCGGGCCTCAGGTGTTTTAAAGAGCATTTTAAATTACGGGAGAGGGTAGACATGAGGGATCCACACAGATCACACACAGTCCTTTGGACAAGTCTCTGCTTCACCTCTTGACCCTTCAGAGATGCAGCAACGGAGCTCGTTTGTTTTTTTTTTTATTGTATTTTATTGACAATTTTCATCTTTACACATCAGTCATTCCCCAGAGTCAACTTCCTTTGTGACAAAGAAAAAGAGTTAAGCAAATGTATCCACTTTGGAGAAGACTGACTGGGCCCTCTTTTCACCAGGAACCAAACCACCAAAGCTTGAAGGGCACAGTCAGACCCACAGGCTTCCTTTGAGCTGCTTTTGTTTGGACTGAGCATCTCTCGCCTCCTAACCACAGCGCCCGGGATGCTGGGAAGTTGTTTCTGGAAGAGCATATTGTATGAACAACCCACCGGGAAGGCTAGAACCATGTCAAGCCTGTAATGAAGCTAATCTGACATATTCATAACAAAATGCAGCCCTGCCCCTGTACTAGATGCTAGGGAGGGATGGAGAGGGATGGGGACAGAGGCTCTCAGAGAAGACAGGGCCTCTATCAGCGCAGGTCGGCACCTGTCTACACTTGACTGTCTTAGAATGAGGGGTCTTGGCACTTCTTGGCATTTCAAAGGAGGGACTCCCTCCTTGAGTTCACATCTGGTCTAGCTGTACAACCCTGGACAAGTCACTTAACCCCAAATGCCTCCACCCCCAAAAAATAAAAGAGAGTTGCCTAAAACATCGAGTCTCAGTGACTTACCCAGAGCCACACAGACAATGTGATGGAAGCAGGACCAGAGCCCAGGTCTTCCTGGCTTCAAAGTCAGACTCTACTCACTCTGGTACCCTGCCCCTCACTGTATGACAGGGTATAAAAAGTAAGCAGTTCATGCAAATAACTAACCAATGTTACTTTTATACAAGCATTCCTAAAATAAGACAGAAAGAAGGAACGGGGACCTGCAAAAATCTGAAAGCCCCTCTGAATGCCCCTGTCCAGACGCCTAGACAAGTACAAAGGCCTTACTCACCTTTGTGCACCATTCCAGTTTGGGGCCACAGAGGGACTTTCATCTATGTTATCTCATAACATCCAGTCAGGGTGAGAGATGGGGAAACTGAGGCACAGGAGATCACATGGCCTATGGGAGCTCACACTATTAAACACCTGCATCAACTCTTCCCTGTCTCACAGAGACTCCCTTCTGGTCAAACCACGCAGCCTTGGAAGCCAGCTGACCAACCCAACTATCCTTGTCACTCTCACGTCACTCAAATGCCATCTAGTCAGAGACCTTCAAACTTGCCCTAAGCCTGTCTTGTTCACGTCAAAGGGTTCTAGTCAAAGTACCTCCCATGACAGATGAAGAGACTGAGCCCAGGGAGTGAGAGGTCTGCTGATGGCTAGGGAACAGAGCTGGAAACTGAGCCTTGACTAATTCCAGCCTTTGTTCATGCTGTTTCCCAGCCCTGGAATGCCAGACACTCCCTCCCTTCAACCCAACCAATTGCTCTCAGCTCTTCTAGGGAGGCAGGCACTTCACACTCCCAGGGAGGAGCCCGTCCACCTCACCCGGCACATGGCATCTGTAGCCAACATGAATTCTGGTACAATCCCTGAATCAGAGGGTTGAGATGATGTCATGACGTAATTTTCAGATTCTCTCTACAATTAAATTAATTGGCAGCTGACTACCCACAATCTCATTTGTATATGGTAGAGCAATTTACCAGCTTGGAATATGGGGAAATCCTAACTTAGCAATTAACATAGTGTCCTATATACAGTGGATCTCCGGGAGTGCGTGACTGCCTAATTCACCTAAAAAGAATAACTTAATTTTCACATTAACATCATTCTTCCCTAGCTTTGTGACACTGTCTCTTTAAGCCTCACAATCATCTGATGTGGAATGGGTGTGGTTTTCTCCAGGTTACATTCCTAACCTTTTTTGGGGGGCCTGAATCCCTCTGGCAGTTTTTGGACCTTACTCACAATAAAAAATGAATCAAATCACTGGGGATACAAAGGTTAGTAAAAATAAATGCCCCATTCAAGTTCAAAGGCCCCCTGAAATCTCTATATAGATCCCTGGAGGTTCATGGACCCCAGGTTAAGAACCCCCCCCCCAGACAATAGAAATAACTCAGGACCCATTTTTACATGCAGAAGAGACTGAAAATCAAGAACAAGGAAATCACTTCAATAATTCAGAAGGGAAATTTGGTTCAGAAATGGACAGATAAATGAGTAGAGATGTATGGATTTTTTTTAAAAAAATATTTAATTTTAGGTTTGTCACTTTGCTTCAGCTATCCCCATAGTTCCCTCCATCGGCCGCTCCCCTTTCTACATATAAAGGCAGTCAGAGAGAAGAAGGTAACCTTCCCAACAGCATTCAGTGGGAAGCTGGGAAATCACATGTGTTCTCAGCTCAGCAGCCTTTTCTCCCTTTTCTCCTGCCTTTGTTACATAACAGACAGCAGTGCTAGGACCAGCCTTATGTAACATTTTTATAAATGAATAATTTTAGAGCAGAGGTAACACTGGATTATGAAACAGCCACTCCCTACCTCCCTGTGCCTGAAGATTGAAGGAGCATCAGATGGGGGAGGGGAGGCAGGATAACAGACTCAGCTAACAATCTGAAAAGGGTACCATTTTGGATGCTGACATCTTCCCCTCTGAGAAAGCACTGGTGGGTGCAGCAGAGAAGGAATCAGTGGAAAGGCAGACAAATCTCTTTTTTCATCTAGATGTATGTATAAGTCTGAGCAAGTCAGCCTTTGTGGACCTTGGTTTCCTTTTCTGTATTGAACTACATCACCTCTACAGCCCCTTACTGCTCTAAGATGCTATAAAATTCTTCTGCTTACCCATTTCATTTTCCATAGTGGTCTCCTTACCACGAACACTTCCTAACAATTAGCTGTCCAAAATGGCTCCAGGAGGAAGTGAGCTCCTCCTCCCTATCTCAGAGGATAAAAGTCAGGAAAGCACTTTGTAATTCAGAAAGAGCCATCCACGCCCTTCTTTAGCATTCACCTTTAAAGCAATATTGGATGCCTTGACACGTCTACCCTAAATTCTAATCTAAATTACACCGTTTTCATTGAAATGTTTTAAGTTCCTTCAAAGCTATAAATTACACTTGGAAGAGCAAACTTGAAGGTGCAACTCACCATCTTTCAGCTCCACTTCCCATTTGCTCTTCCAGTTTGTGCAGTTCTTGCCTATAAGCCGTAATTCGAGCATCGCAGACCATCAGATTTTTCACTGCCTGCAAGAGTTGGTCTTTTTGAGTACTCAGTAAAAGGAGTTTACATATTCCCTCTCGCATCCGGGTTTCAAAGTTCAATTTTCCTTGAATGCTGCTGTCCTAAAGGAAAGCAAACTGATGGTTAAAAGATTAAGGAACAACATTTAGAGAAGGAAGGGAAGGGAAAGGATTTTAACCTCGTACCTCCAGCAGAGGGCATTGTATCTGGTAGACAGGAAGATAGTTCATATATTGAATTATGCTGATTCCATATATTTAATATGAGAACGCAAAAGGCTGATTGCATTTCCACTTATGTGACTCTTAATGAAGCTAGGGAGTTGGAGTTGGGGGAAGGGGGAGAGGGAAGGAAAGGGATCATAATCCTAGGTGCCAACATTCAAAGCTTATCTTAACACTTCTCTTACTAGAAATCTTCCTTCTGAACAGTTAATAATAGATAAATAAAATGATCTGAATAAAAAGGATGAGTAAAAAGCATAAAAATTTTAAACTGCTTTTTTATCTTAAAATTGATCAGAAAATATGAATGAAATTATTCATTTAGAAATTCACTATTTTAAGGATGCAAAACAGCCCTCTACAAGAAAAGGAAACTGATGGGTAGAGCACTTATACATTTTGGAAAGATTACCAGGAGAGAGAAACACTACATTTCTCAATTTCACCATCCAAATGCATTAACACATGCCAAAAAAAGACATTTATTTAATGACAGTGTCCTTTGGTATAAGTATATACATTGCAAAACACTCTGGTGCTGTGGTAAGGTAAGCCTGAACTTACTGTGTAAATATGTCATACAGATGTAGTTTTTCTCTACCAACAACGCCTTTACATCTATTTCGTTTTAATGGTCCAGGGTCTTTTCTTTTTTCTAAACAATCTTTACCAGCCCCCCAAGTAAACCTTAAAAACAACCAGCAAACAATTTAGTCTTGTCCTCTTTGGCTGTGAATAAGTCACTTAATGCTACTGGGTCTCAGTTTCCCCCTATATACGTTGGGCGTAATGTGCCTCAGAGTTAACAGGACTCAAATGCTTTGTCAATGGTAAAGCATTGTAGACAAAAGTGACTTGTTTTGCAGCAAGAAAAACAAAAGCAAGCTTGTTGAGGAACCAGAAATGTGCATGAGGCCACAAGGGGTCGGGGTGAGCATTCTGAGCTTCCCCAAGGACAGCTCAAGTTGCCAGCAGGCCCCACTTTGGGGCCCAAGGCCCTCTAACAAGAAGCAAGCCTGAAGCACGGAGGGAGCTAAATTTGCCAGCACAGGAAATGGGTTTAAATCCCAGCTGTCATTTACTACCTGGATGACCTTAGGCAAATGACTTAATCCCGCTGACATTTTATTTCTATAAAATGATTCAGACTAGAGCTGGCATTCTTAACCTTTTTGGGGGTGATGGACCTCAGTGGTAGTTGGGTGAGACCTTTCATTACTGTTCTGTCTCCAGCAAATGCTAAATTTCAATGAGAAGCTAGGGGAAAGAGTGACGTATTTTTTTTCTCCATCCAACTTTACAGACCACCTGAAGTCTATCCATGCACCCCAGGCTGGGAAGGCCTGGAGATAATCTCTGAAGTCTGAAGTTCTGCGGTCCCTCCCCGACTCACGTCATTTTGGAAAGCTGTCATACTTCACAGGCGCCACCAGATGGCGACAGCTACACAGAGGAGAGCAGCTTTAAACTCTCATCCACAGAGGCGTCCAAATAAAGCACCAGGTTTTGGCCAGGTGCCTCCTAAGATATCTCCCCACCCCCATGGCAGATCTCGGACTTGAAGAAGGCTGCTGTGGACCCTGGCTTTCCCTCATTTGACACAGAACAGATGGGATGACTATGGGCTCACATTTCTGTGGGCAGCACTTAAGTCTGCAAAGTGCTTGACACTTTTTCTCATCTGATTCTCCCGACAACCTTGGGAAGTGGACATGATTATTTGCCCCATTTCACAACTTACAACAGGTATTAAGTGACTTGCCCAAGGTCACACAGCTAGTAAGTAATTCAGATCTTCTGGACTCAACATCAAACCCTCTGAACCAAATCACAGAAGGGAAAGGAGCGCATCGAACAAGAAACAGATCCTAGCCTCAGGAAGGCTGATCTCAGGCTGTTTCAAGTCAGATGGATCAAGAGAGAGAAATCAAGGAAGAGTGTGAGTCTCTGAATACATTCAAAGCCAATTTAAACCACTTCTCTTTTTAAATGTGATCAATCAGCAAGTTAGTTCTCCACAGACAGACAGGTAGAGATATAATAAGGTAAATATATAATACTAGTGACATTTATATAGAGCTTACTCTATGCTAGGTATTGGCTCTTTACAGCTATCTCATTTAGATTCTCACAATAACTTTGGGAGGCAGGTGTTCTTATAATTCCTATTTTACAGATGAGGAAACTGAGGCAAACAGAAGTGACTTGCCTAGGGTCACATGGCTAGTAAGTGTCTGAGGCCAAATTTGATAGATAGGAGAGGGAGATAAAGAAAGAGGGAAGGAGGAGGGGAAGAGGGGAACAGAGAGAGAGGGAGAGAGAGAGAGGGAGGAAAAAAGAGAAGGCGGGGGAGACAGATACAGATACACACATAATCATGTTTAACTTTATGGCAGAAAAGACTCACTGACCTGGAGTGGATGTGGAGTTGAGACATATTTAATTTTGGCCTGTGCAGACAGAGGAAGATGGGCTTTGTAGCCTTTGAGGAATCAAAGGGGCCTGTTACCGATAGAAAGTGTGTCGGGGGAAGAGAAAGATGCCTGGTGACTTGGCTCATGGTTGTGGCCACTCTTAGATAAGTGAGTGCAAATCCCAGAGTGTGTCTTTAGTCCATGGTGTGTGCTAACCCCATGGAGGGGAGGAAGAAGTCCTAGAGGGGCCCTCTGCTACCAACTGTGGCTGGTCTCCCCGACCCAAGGCTCTCCCCACTCCTGTCCATCCTCCACTCAGCGGCCAAAGGCATCTTCCCAAAGCCCAAGTCTGACTATGTCACCCTCTGTCCGTACGCAGTAAACTGCACTGGCTCCCTATTACCTCTAGGATAAAAGATCAGATCCTTTCTGTGGCCCTGGCCCTTCCCACCTCCCCAGATTCACTGGTCCTGCTGCTCCTTGGACACATGCCTCTTCACTGGCCGCACCCCACCTCCTGCTCCCCTCATGCCCGGGGTGTTCCCCCTCCTCATCTCCAACTGGCTGGCTTCTGTTCAAACTCGACTGAAATCCCACCTTCTGCAAGAAGCCTTGGTCAGGATCTGCTCCCCCCACTCTGCTTCACCGCCAGATGCCCTGCTATTTAGGCTGTACATGATTTGTACGTACAGTCCTTTATGTGAAGTTTCCCCGTCAACACGTAAGCTCCTTGAAAGCAGGGACTGTGCTTTTATCTTTCTTTGTATCTCCCCAGTGCTTAGTAAAGTGCCTGGCACACACTAAGTGCTTAATAAATGTTTGCGGCAAGGATATGAACAGGCAGTTCTCAGATGAAGAAAGTAAAGCCATCTCTAGTCATATGAAAAAATGCTCCAAATCACTACTGCTTAGAGAAATGCTAATCAAAACAACTCTGAGGTACCACATGACACTTATTCGACTGGCCAACATGACAAAACAGAAAAATGATAAATGTTGGAGAAGATGTGGGAAAATTGGAACGCTAATGCATTGTTGGTGGAGTTGTGAAATGATCCAACCATTCTGGAGAGCAATTGGGAATTATGCCCAAAGGGCTATCAAAATGTGCATACCCTTTGACCCAGCAATAGCACTTCTAGGGCTATATCCCAAAGAGATCATACAAATGGGAAAAGGACCCACATGCACGAAAATACTCATAGCAGCTCTTTTTGTGGTGGCCAAGAATTAGAAATTAAGAGGATGCCCATCCATTGGGGAATGGCTGAGCAAGTTGTGGTCTGTGAATGCAATGGAATACGATTGTGCTATGAGAAATGATGAGCAGGCTGACTTCAGAAAAACCTGGAAAAACTTGTATGGTCTGATGCTGAGTGAAGTGAGCAGAACCAGAGAATGTTGTACACAGTAACAGCCACTTTGTGCAATGACTAGTATTAATGGAGTTTGAATGCAGATGGAAGCAGACTATTTGCTATTTTTTTTCCTTCTGTTGTGTTTTGTTTCCTCTTTGTGGTGGTTCCTCCTATTGGTTCTAATTCTTGCTTACAATATCACTAATGTGAAAATATGTTTTATAGTAATATAGCAGATTGCGGGGCGTTGTGGGGAGGGAGAGGAAGAAAAAATTTAAAACTCAAAAGCTCATGGAAGTGATTGTTGATAATTCAAAATAAATTTTAAAAAAATGTTTGCCGCCTGACTACCATAGCCCCGGCAGCCTGACCTGCCTTGGCAGTCGCACAATGGCCAGCAGCCTGCTTTTATCCTTTCCTGGGAGTCCTTCAGACAAACTGGAAGGACAAGAGAACACAGGAGGACCCACGGGATTCCATCCATGGTTGCCAGGGGCACAGAAGCCAAAGATGCTGTGCATAAGAGCCTGCTGGAGCCCAGGGCAGAGAGCAGCCTCTGTCACCAGCCACAAGGCCCTGAGACCCGAACTGCCTTGAAACCACTGAGGGAAGGAGCTTGGCCACGGCACTGAGGGAGGACTCACTTTAGGGAAAGGGAAGCTGGGGTGTCCTGCTCATAGTTGTAGGGCTGGAAGAGCCCTGGAATCCAATCCCCTCATTTTGCATATAAGGAAACTGGACTTGCCCCAGGGTCGCCCAGCTAGGACGAATCCGGGGCAGAATTTGAACTCAACTGCTTCAGTAGAGAAGGGTGAGGAGCTGGGGAGACCCATGGGACAGCTTCCACGATCCCTAGGTATCCTTGAAATGCCAAAATATCCAATGTAAAACCCCACAAATGCAGCTATTGGAGATTTACATGGGTACTCACTACATGGGCCCTACTAGGGATTACCTACACTGATGAAATTGTAAATTCAGCTAAGAGAATGAAGCTATGCCAAATGGGGATGGGGCAGGCCAAGTATTAACCATTCAGGAAAAGAACTTTAACACGCCTGACACTCACGTGACTGTAACATCATTAGCTCATTTGAGCCCCATAACTTCTCTGCAGGAAAAGGTGGGAAAGGGATTAATTACCATTCCCATATTACAGAGGAGATAACTGAGGCATTGGTTGGACCCCAAGTTTTCTGACACTGTGGCTCTCTAATGTACATGAAGTACACTCAATTTCCAGGAATTATTTCCGAGCACTGTGGGGAATTTAAAGCTATTACCTGCATTTTATATTTGCAAAATAAAGACAACACTTTTACCCAAAAGTGTAGATGATGATGGAAGGAACCCTAGCCATTATAATGTGAAGGGTGGATTGGATTCTATCCCCCACAAGGCCACAAGAGCATCCCTGCAAGTATTTATATTAAATTTCCAAATAAATTAGCTCCCTGGACACTGGGAAATTTGCACTATGGTGACTAGGGTGGAAAAGTGGGTACAACATGGAAGACTTGAATTCAGAAAAGCTATGTCAGATACCTACTGGGTAACCTGAAGCAAGTCGCTTAACTTCTCTGTGCCAGTTTCCTCATCCATAATTTGGGGGTAATTAAGGTATCTACTCAAGGAACTGTTTGGAGAATAAATATGTAAAGGGCTTTGTAATCCTTAAAATGCCATATAAATGCTTCCAAGCATTATTATTTCTACATTTTGATGATATAAGTGGCATTTTGTCTGTACCTCCCCCTGTTAAAGTCTCATTTCTTTAGGAAGCAATAAATAGGGTATAGTGGCGGGCAGCTAAGTAGTGAGTGGATAGAGTACCAGGCCTGGAGTCAGGAAGACTCCTTTTCCTGAGTTCAAATCTAGCCTCAGACACTTACTAGCTGTGTGATCCTGGGCAAGTCGCTTAACCATGTTTGCCTTAGTTTCCTCATCTGTAAAATGAGCTGGAGAAGGAAACGGCAAACCCCTCCAGTATTTGCCAAGAGAACGCCAGAAGGAGTTGAACACAACTGAAAACTGACCAAACGACAACCAAGGAGATCTGGGAAAGAATATGGCCCTCGGAATCAGAGCCTTTATTTGAACTCCAACTGACCTCTACCACCTGCATGACGACTGACATGTTATTTGTCCATTTAATCCATTTATGTCCATTTAACCACTGTGCCTCAGTTTTGCTACCTGTAAATCCTTATGGATTTTCCAGCTATAGCCAAGAAAGTGCTTTGTAAACCTGAAAGCATTATAGAAATGGGAGCTATGAGCAGTATCACACTACCCCATCACTAGAGCAATGTGCCAAAAATCACTGCCTGAATAATGAGCAAGGACAGGACCTGGACAATCTGGTCTAGCCTCAACCCATGGGGGAAGAGGAGGGTGCTAGAAAATCTTACTTAAATTATACTAACAACCCCACCTTGAATTTGCATGGCATTTTACAGCTTGGAAAGCCTAAACATCTGGGGGCAGCTAGGTGGTGCAGTGAATAGAGCTCTGGCCTTGGAGTCAGGAGGACCTGAGTTCAAATCCAGCCTCAGACACTTGACACTTAACACTTACTAGCTGTGTGTGACCTTGGGCAAGTCACTTAACCCCAATTGCCTCTCACCCCCCCAAAAAAAAAGAAAAAAAAGAAAGCCTAAATATCATCTCCAGTGATTTTCAAAACAACCCTATGAGGAAACTTGGAATTCCTTTGGGATTTAGTTTGTGGTAGGTTAAGATAGCTATAAACCATTCACAAAACACTCAAGGCATTTCAGCATCTCAGGTGAGATAGAAACCACTAGGAAATAGCCCTGAAGTCTATCAACCAACTTATTAAGCACCTATTGTATGCAGGCACTGAGGATACAGTACATTGAATGAAATGATCTTACATTCTACTGAGAAAACTTGGGGTTTCTAAACCAAAAGGATGGATCAGAAACTAATAGAGTCAGGGATGAAAATATAAGTAAGAATCCACTTTAAAAAGCAACAGCTTTTGCAAGGTTCTAAACGTGCTGGTACACGGACACCCAGTGAGGTTCCAAAAGCTGAGTTTTAGTTACCAGGATGGATTCCCGCAAGGAAATGTGGAAAGTAAACTGAACCACAGACAACTAGGAAGTCAGAAGACTTGACTGAAATTCCAGCTGACCCATGCTCTAATTACATCATCAAAGCAAACAGTGGGATCCCAAGGAACTTACAGCATTGATCTATGAGCTAGCTCACTTGACAGGAGGCCCCACAAGTGAGGTCTCTTGCCCAAGGTCACACATGGAATGAGGGACAGACCCCCAATCTGGGGGACCAAGTGCCTTCCCCTCTCTACAATTATGCTCATCAGTAGAATGAAGATGCAGAATCAGGATTCCAACGAGGTGAATCACAGGATTACAGAATGGACCTGTGGGAAGGTCCTACTGAAACGAACCTTGGAAATCGTAGAGGCCAATCCCCACAGAAGAAAAGGAGGTCTACAGAGCTGAAGAGACTTGCCCAGGTTCACACAGGGTAAAAGCAGCAAAAAGCCAGGTTTTGAACCCAAAACTGAAGACTTCTGTCATATTACGCTGTCCTTCTCTGAACCTGTTTCTTTATCTGTAAAATGGAGGCATTGATACTTTTACCACCCACACATTGCCAAGATATCAGGCAAGGGTTCTGTAAACCTTAAAACAACATTTAGAGAAGTCACTGAGGAAAATTTCTGTTCAAACTACAGGGTGTCCCAAAAGTCTTAGTGCAGTTTTAAGCTTTTAATAGCTTTCACTGGATCTATTTCTACCCACCCTGTTGAACAAAAAAGTTAGTTTTCCCTCCTTCAGTGACCTTGTCTGAATTGTTCACTTGGGGTGTAAAACGAGTAAGAGTCCCCATTTCAAACTTTGGGCTTTCTCTAAAATTCCAGTTGTGAACTGTCTAAATAAAGATGTTGGCACCTTTCTCTCCTGTTCGACAGACATATCTGCTGAACAAAAAGCCTTTGGCCCAATCAACCAACTTCCTTTTGCTATTGCGCCTTGGGTTAATTTCTATTGAGTTTCCAATCAACTTCATGAACGGTGAGTTTTTGATCAATTTCATCAATAGGCAGCTCTTTCTTTGGTGAGCTGGGGGGGGGGAGGCAGGTAGTGGTGGGCTGGGAAAACTCACAGTACCTTTCACTTAGTTTTAAGTGAAAATACTCTAGAGGGGTTGGGCCAGCAGTGGAAAGGGCAGGAGAAATCTGGACTGGGTTCCCAGAGCTGCGTGCCCACTAACAAAGCCCTAAACCACTCCGAGGTGTTACACTGGAAACAGTCCTCATCTTGGGGATGTTGTAAGGAAAAGCGCTTTTTAAGTCTGAAGGTGCTCTAGAAAGGCAGTTCTATGATCAGGAGTATTTTTATTTTAGCATTATATTTACACTACCTGATTTATTTGTTATTGTCTTATTTGTTATTAGTCCATTTGAGGCTCCCCTCTGAGCTCTTTCCATCTACCTAAGACTTAGGGGTAGAAGACATCGAGGAGACAGATTTATCCCAAGGGATCCAAGACGCAAGGGGTGTAAGCTCCGGAAGAGCCCCCAAGTAGGACCAGGGAACTGGGTCCTGACCCAGTTACAAATCAATGGCCTTAAGCAAGTCATGCCCTTTCTCTGGGCCTCAGTCTTACCATCTGCAACGTAAGACAACCGGAGTAGACGACCTCTAGGTCACCCGGAGGACCCCTCCCCACTCTCATTACTTATTATAAAAGTTTCACCACCGGGAAGGGATTGTCCCTGTAGTCCCAGAGCTTAGCAAGTCTTGGCTCACAGTAGGTACTTGACAGATGCTGGCCGATGACTGGCCTAGGCTAGGTGGGACTGAAACTTGGACGTCTATATTAAGAACCCCTTGATATGGGTGTCCCAAAAATCTTAATGCAATCTTAAGCTGTCAGAGCACTCTTTACGATATCAGGGGCTCACCACAAGTTTGGGAATCGTGGTGATGACGACAACAGAGCACTAGCTAACATACACAGGAGCTGTGCTTTATCAATGTCTCACTGGACACTCAAGGCGGAGGGCGGTAGGGCTACCATTATCCCCATTTTACAGATAAATGGGCGGGTGGATTTCTGACCCTGCCACTTACTCTTGGGGGGGGAGCTCCCTGGCGTCAGTTTCTCCACCTGTGAGATGGGAGAGGTGTCAGCCCAAACGTCCCCGGGGTCCCTCCCGCAGCCCCGCATCTGTGCCCCCCCTAAGGCTTCCAGGCAGGTGCCCAGACGGGCAGCGGGGCACCTCCCCTCCCAGGCCTCAGTTTCCCCGTCTGTAACGGGAGGTTCCCTTCCAGGGCTACCCCGAGGATTCTGGGGCGGGAGGAGGCGACAAGGGAGCTCCTTCCAAAGTCCGCTGGTCCCACCCCTCCACCTGCACAGGGGGAAACTGAGGCCCGGGGCCAGCTTCTAGCGCCCGCGCGGGGACAAAGGGGCCGCCTTCCCGCACTCACCGGCTGCTGCGCGGGGTCCCTCGCCGGACAGTCCGGCGGCCGCTCCATGTCTCCGGCCCCGGCTCCAGCCACCGCGCACCTGAGTCCGTGCTCCACGATCCAGGCCAGACCGCAGTGCCCGGGTCCGCTTGGGTCCGCTCCGTGCGCTCGGTCCAGAGCCCTTCCGCGCTCCCGCCGCCAGCTGCTCCTCCGAGAGCGATTTGAAAATCCCGCCCCCTGGCTCCGGGCCTGGCCACCGCGCGGGGGACGGGGGGAAGCGACCAACCGCTGGGCCGTACCAAGTCGCGGAGGGGGAGCTTGGGCGGTCCTGCGCGTGCGCAGCCCAGGCTGGGGCGGGCCGAGTGGAGCGAGCTGGTCTATGGGCGCTCAGGGAGCAAAGGAAGGGGCGGGGCCTTGGTTGCAGGGGCGGAGCCAGAGCGCTGGAGGCGGGGCCCGAGGGACTGCACCTGCCCTCTAGACAAAGCATCCGCCTTTTGCACCAGCCCCAGCCTGGAATTTAAGCAGGTTTCGGTGCCCTACCCCCGCCCCGGAGCAGAGGCTTCCCACCCCACGCCCTGGGCGTTCTTCAGGAGTCTGTGATTTCATCCCCGTGGGTGCTTCTTCTAGCCCAGACCCGGGTCGGTCCCCATCTCTGAAACATCAGTCTTGCTTCCTGTTCAGAGCCTCAGTGTCCTCATCGGTGGCAAGAGGCTACGCAGACCTGCAAAGATCAATAAAACATTAAGCGCCTACTGTGTGCCAGGCACTGTCCCAAATACCAGAGCAGGCTTTTAGAGAGCAACCGAGAGAACGAATGCAAAGAGGGCTGTGAATGCACCTCAGCTATTACAATCATTCAGCCAACAAGCTTCTATTAAGCGCTTACTGTGTGCCAGGAGCTGCGCTAATCATCCATCCTCTGATTATCTAGTCCGCTTCATAATAGCCGAGTGTTTTAAAAGGTTTTAAGTTTACAAAGAGCCTTGTATACAAATGCTCACAGCAGCCTGGGAAGATCTGCAGGTATTGTCAGCCTCCTTCCAGGACACCAGCTGCTTCCCATCAATCAACCAATCAATGAAGAAAAGGTATTAAACGTGAATGGAAATCCCTAAATGTCATAAATATACGCGTAGCCCTTGAAGCTTTACAAAGTATCTTCTTCCCGAGAACTCTGGGAGGCAGGAACCATAAACAAAGTGGTTAGATGCATTATATGCAGCCACCCTAGCTGACATTTATCACTTCATGGTTCAAAGTCCTAGACATCATTATCTCCTTTGAATTTAAAAATTGACTTGGTGCCTCCCACAACCTCCATTTTAAAGAGGAAGCCCAGACCAATCCTGACTTCTCTTCTGCCATGCCTCTGTCCTGGGGGTACCCCAGTTCATCACCACCCTCATTCCTTTTCAGCTGCCTTTTATGTGTTTTTCGTTATTAGTATGTAAGTTCTTTGAGGGCAGAGACTTCCCAATGCTTAGCACTATGCCTAGTACATAGGAAGGACTTAAACGCTGCTTCACTTGACATGATATATGGGATGGGAATAGGAATTCTTTCTTTCTTTCTTTCTTTCTTTCTTTCTTTCTTTCTTTCTTTCTTTCTTTCTTTCTTTCTTTCTTTCTTTCTTTTCTTCTTTCTTTCCTTCCTTCTTTCTTTTTCTTTCTTTCCTTCCTTCCTTCTTTCTTTCTTTCTTTCTCTCTCTCTTTCTTTCTTTCTTTCTTTCTTTCTTTCTTTCTTTCTTTCTTTCTTTCTTTCTTTCCTTCTTTCTTTCTTTCCTTCTTTCTTTCTCTCCTTCTTTCCTTCTTTCTTTCCTTTCTTTCTCTCCTTCTTTCCTTCTTTCTTTCCTTTCTTTCTTTCCTTCTTTCTTTCTCTCTCTCTCTTTCTTTCTTTCTTTCTTTCTTTCTTTCTTTCTTTCTTTCTTTCTTTCTTTCTTTCTTTCTTTCTTTCCTTTTTGTTTTAAACTTTGTATCTATTTCCAGCACTTTACACAGTGACTGGCACTGTGTTTTACAAGTTTAACAAGAGCTTTTTGATTAATTGAAAAGACAAGTTGTATCCCCATTTTATAGATGAGGAATACAGAGGGCAAGTGGCACAGGCACACAGCAGAACCAATAATCAAAACCCAGTCCCCCTGACAGAGATGCTACTTTTCCCAATTACACTTAGATGCCTCATAGTAAAAGGCAGTACAAGTGTTATTATTGTTATTTAAAAGATAAGGAAACAGAGATGAAGGGACTTACCCAGAGTCACTCCCAGCCCTAAGTGTCACAGCTGGCACTTCAATGCATTTTTTTCTGACTCCAAGACAAAAATTCTTTTCCACTTTGCCTCAATGACTCACCTCAGCAGCATGCAACCTTCAGGATAACTAATCATAGAATCACAGAATATAGATTAGAAGGGACCTTAGAGATCTCCCAGCTCATGAACTAGAGAAACTCAGAGCTGGAACATGTCCCTGAAACACATTTACCATCCCCCTCCCACCAACTCACCTCCAAAGTCTCAGATGAATAGTCAGAGCCAGGCTCCACTTGAATACTTCTGGTGAAAACATCTCTTATTACAAAAGAGTTCTCTACCGTACCTTAAGGTTTTTAGATGTCTTTCCCCACGACAACTTTGAGCAATGGGCAGTGCCCACCTCCTAACTGAGGTGTGAGAGAGATGAGAGACACACTGAGAGACATCTTTGTACATGGCCAATGGATGGGTTTATTTTGCTTGACCCTGCTTACTTGTCACAAGGAAGGTTTTTTTTTTGTTTTGTTTCATTTTGTTTTTTTAAAGAAGTGGTTTCAGAGATGAATGATAATGAGGTCTAGAAAAAAGAGTGAGTGGGAAAGAAAACGGTCCTTGGAGTATTAAAAGACACAGAAAAGAACAGCAGGCAATTTGGAGGGATATACAGATTAAGGAATGCAGCTTTAAAACTAATGAGTTGAATTTATTATATGCTTTTTAAAAGTGGACAAGCTGTTTGTAATGAAAATTCATGGTGTCATGTCTTTTCCTATTATCCATTGCATACAGAAATGAAAGTGTTAATTGGAGCTTGCCAAGAATAGGATAGGGACATCTGATGGACCTGGGATTGCATGGATATAAGGACCTACCAAGAGAGAAAGTTCCTCTGCCAATGCAGGTTGGCATCTTGTCTGCAATTTATGGTCTTAAAAGAGTTGCCTAGGAGGAGGTTAAGGGAATAGAATAACAAAAAGGATAAAGATTAAAATTTAAAAAAAGTCGGTAGCACAAGGATCCATGATTTCAGCAGAAGGTTCCCAGATCAATACAGACCCATCTAAGTTTATACAAAATAAGTCTAAGAGAATTGTTCAATATCATCTAGTGAATACTAAAGGTAGGATTTGAATTCACCTTCTCCTCACTTCCACTCTAACATATAGCTCATGACACCATACCAATTCTCACTCAAGCATTATTACAGGCAACATGGCAAAGAAGAGAGTGAGTTGGACTAAAAATCATGAAGATGGATGCAAATCCTGTTTCAGGCACTTACTAGCTGTGTGACCTTGGGGAAATCGCCTAACTTCTCTTAACTGTATATGTTGCTGAATATGTAAAATAGAAATAATAATCTATTAACAAGCATTTATTAAGAGCCTAGTACAAGTTGGGTGCTGTCCTAGGTACTGGGGATACAAATTAAAAACTGTCCCTGCTCTCAAAAAGCCTACATTCTATCTAGGAAGAAGCATGTGTACATATATTACAACTCGGATGCACAGTAACTCAGGAGGTTAAGAGAGCTAATAGGATCTTGGAAGATGAGGAAAGTTTTGTGTGGGAGGTAGCTCTTGCCCTGATTTTCAAAGGAAGCTAGAGGCAAAGGTGAGGAGGTGCACAATCCAGGCATGGGAGACAGCCTATGCAAAGACAGAGATGAAGGATGGAATGTCATATATCAAGGCCAGTTTGACTGTACTGACAAGTGAGGGAAACAGAATAATGTGAAAGAAATCTGGAAAGATGAGTAGGAGCCAGGTTGTGGAGGGCTTTAATTGCCAAACACAGGAGTTTGTATTGGGTCCTAGAAGTAACAAAGACTCATTGGAGCTTGGAAAGTAAGGATGTGACTGTACCCCTGACCTTACAGAGCCATTGTGAGGATCAAATGAGATAATGAATAAAGTGCTTTGAAAACCGTAGCTATACATAAGCCTGGGCAGGAACAAAGGGGTCAGGGGCTTATATAGAAATGCCAGTTATTAACAGTTATCCAGCTTACACATAAGGAATCTTTGCCCAAGGTCACACAACCAACATGGAAAAGACAGAGCCATAATTCAAACTTAGATCTCCTACCTCTAAGAACATGGCGTTCTCCACGGTACCATTTTGCCTCCCTTTACCTTGGGTCTTTGAGAGTAGCTATGAATAAAAGATTTATCCCCTATCAACCAACCTAGTGATGAGCCTCAGAGCTAGACTGGTCCTTACATAAGGTCAACATCACACACCAAAAGCCTATACTTTGAGTAACAAACAGCTGTTAAGAGCCTGCTATGCTCTGGGTGAAAAAGTCTGAATCTAGGCCTGAATCTTGTCTCAGCCAATTAGTGGCTGTGTGACCTCTGTGACCCTTCTTCCTCATCTGCAAAATGGGGACAAATACTTAGCTTCTTAACTTCTCCCAGCCTTTCTGCTTATCTGTAAAATGGGGATAACTACCCATCATTGTTATGATGACCAAATAAATGAGATAAAGTATGTAAAGTGCTCTATAAACTTGAAGCTTTTCTTGTTTGGTAAGAGTTCTGCAGGAGCACCTCCAGAGTCAATGAGGAGGAGTTGAGTGGAGTCCACGTTTGGGAAAAAAGTCACATGTTTTGTCAAAATATGGGCATCAAGTTTTGGGTTCAGAAAATATGGTCATAGGATTCTAGCTTGAGAGCTGGAAGAATCCTTGAGCTCTTCTAATCCAACAAAAGAGGAAACTGAGGCCCAGAGAGGAGAAGTTACTTGGCTAAGGTTGGACAGGTATAAGGAGCAAGGGTCCCCATGTGAAGCAGGAAGCATGTGCTTGTAAGAATCATCTAGTGTGAGACAAGGCGGTTCGGAAAAAACGTGCGACTGAGGTGCGACAATCCCAAGCCCACACTCAGCCCCTGGGCACGTTTCCTTAT